ACTGGAGAATTTTGATTACCCATGTTCCCTGGTCTTTCACCTTCTGAACTATCACATGTAGAGGCAGATGGTGGTTTAATGGATGGAACACTGGGCCTGGAGTCAGGGAAGACCTGAGTTCAAACGTGGCCTCAGACACTTAATAGCTGTGTGACCCTGGGCAAGTCACTTAACCTCTATCTGTCCCAGTTTCTTCAACTGCAAAATGAAGATAATCCTAACACCTACCTTGCAGGGTTGTTTTTTTAGGATCAAATGAGGTAATATTTGCAAAAAGTCCTTAGCTCAGTGCCTAGCCCATAGCAAGGCACTATATAAATGCCTTACCATGGAGGAAGAAAGAAGGGCTACAGAGCTTTTCGATGAATGTTTGAAAGAAGAAGTATTTATTAACTGTGTACTACATGCAAAGTACTTTACTAAGTGATTCAAATAGGGGGTTCAAATAGGAAAGAAAGAATCCCTTCTCTCAAGGAGCTCACATTCTAACAGGAGGAGACAATAGAGTTGTTAGGAAGAAGGAAGGTTCTGGTGGGCCTTAGGGGTTCAGGAGTAGCGCAGATGGTAAGGCCTGGGGGTCTGTAGGGAGCTGCGGCAGGTCAAGACAAGGTTTTCCCAAGGTTTTTCCAGGCATGATTCTTGTATTTATCATCACGGAACCCCAGGAGGAAAGACTTGGAAGAGACCCTAGAACTCATCTAATCAGGCCTTCTTATTTTACAGATAAGGAAACTGAGGCCCAGGGAAGTAGAACGACCTACTCAAGGTCAAACAGGGAGTAGGTGGCAGAGAGGGGGAGATGAAAGCACAGAGACATTTAAGAAATTTGCTTGGACTCACCCAGTCAATTGGTGACCAGAATCCAAGTCTTCTCAGTGAAAGGCTTTTTCAACTAATAAGAGTGGCACAATGGAAAGAGATCTAGACTTGGAGGCAGAGTTTTGGGTTTAATGCTTGCCAGTAGTGTCACCATGGGAAGGTCCCTCCACCTCTTTGTGCCTCAGTGTTCTTCTCTGTAAAATGGATGGGGGTAGTGGTAAGAATTGTTTCTTGCTGCACTATTTATGAGGATGGTCCTTTGAAAAATCTTTGTGCATTTTTTTATCTGCATTTTCTTTTATAACATTGCTGATATGGAAATGTGTTTTGCATGAGTGCATCTGATCTGTGTCAAGTTGCTTGCCTTTTCAAGGAAGGGGGAGGAGAGGGAGGGAAGGAAGGAGGGAGAAAATTTGGAATTCGAAATTTAAAAAAAAACAAACTTTAAAAATTTTTGTTTACATGTAATTGAGAAAAAAAATTTAAAAAGGAAAAAAGGGAAAAGGGGAAAAGGGAAAAAGAAAAATCTTAGTGCACAATTGAAATGTGAGTTATTACTCTTAAGAGTAAAATTGGCAGTAGAGTGAAGGGGAAAAGAGACTCCAAAAAGTTATTCAACTGCAAGGCAGACTCAAGGTCTCCCTCCATTGTATCTCTGATACTTCCAGCTCTGTCTCTCATTGAATGCAGAACTTGTCTCCAGGACTGCTGGTCTCCACCCGGAATTCAGTTAGAGAGCATGTTCCCTATTCTGAGACAGTTTTTGGCTTCTTGGTGTCAAAGCTGTTTGACACTCCAGTTCTGAAGGCATGGAAGGGCAGCCCCAAAGTGCTAGATAACAGCCACTGTTAAAGGACAGAGCTTTCTGCAGAGATGCCGGCAGGTCAGTGTTGAGAGTAAACACAGATCCTTCACATGACTCGAGGCCAAGGTACAGGCTGAGGTCCAAGGATGTGAAAAGTCAGCACCTTTTGGTCAATGAGAGTTAGGGACAGCCTCAGTACCGTAGAATAATAATATTAGCTGACCCAAAGATAAAATGGAGGGGGGATAGATAGACAAAGATAGGAAGATAAAGAAAAGGAAGGAAGGAAAGAAAGAAGGAAGGAAGGGAGGGAGGGAGGAAGGAAGAAAGGAAGGAAAAAAGGAAGGAAGGAAGGAAAAGAAAGGAAGGAAGGAAGGGAGGGAGGGAGGAAGGGAGGGAGAAAACTGGGGTCAAGAGGAGAAGACAGGACATGATCTGGAGTCTGTCCTGAGTTGCCAGGAGGAGCCATGGGGATGCTTGGCACATGGGAGAGTCCTGAGGGGTCTTCAGTCCAGGTATTCCAATCTAGTTTAGACATGTGAAAAACACCCATCAGATCCAAAGGTCCTCTAGTCTCATGAGCCCAATCTTGTCCTCAGACCCTCCCTCAAGCAGTAATTCTAAAATCATAGTTTAGGTTTTATAGGGGCCTCCCAGTAGTCCAAGATCTTGTATTGGGATAACAATGTTTCCGATTTTTTTTTTTTGAGGGTCAGTAGACAGCTTGCAGTCTATGGTCAGTGATGGTGTGAGTGCAAAGTGAGGCAAAAGAGATGTTACTTAGAAAATGCACAATCAGAAAGGGAGGTATAACCTCGGACAAGTCTCTGCCCCTCTCTCTAGAACAAATGGAATTAGACTAGTAACTTCTGAGGTTGCTTCCAGTGAATAATATTAGTAATAACTGTCAGGTGTATAGTGTTTCGAGGTTTATAAAGTATTTTACAAATATATCTATCTCCTTTTATCCTAACAACAACTTTGGAGATATTATTATCTCCATTTTACAGATGAGGAAACTGAGGCAAATAGCTATTAAATTACCCATAGTCACACAGCTAGGAAGTGTCTCAGGCAGGATTTGAACTCAGGTTATCCTGATTTGAGGTCTGAGGTCCAGTGCTCTATCACTTGTACCACATAGCTGCCTAAATTGATGCTCTATTTGATTCTCACAATTACCCCACAAGGCAGGTAGTGCGGGCATCATGGGACTGGCATCCTTGCTCTAAATTCCTGATAGGGTCATGGTGAGAAAAACACTTTGTAAACCATATTTATTTTATTCTTTCAGTGGGTCCATGATCTCTTTAAATTGGCTCTCTTTCCTCCATTGGTGTAGACTGAAACCCATCCACTCTTTATCCTATGTGCTTCTGGGCCATGACTTCCAGAAACTGGAGGCATTCCTCCAGCTCTTTCTTCTATTTATTTATTTGTTTTAATGATTTATTTGTTTGTTTATCCATCCATTCATCCATTTATTTATTCATTCATTCGTTTGTTTGTTTATGTCTTTTATCATTTTATGAACTGCCATGCAGTTCTCAGGCTTTCCATCAATTATTTCTTGCTCTTGCTAACTGGCCTACGTCCCTTTCTGACTGTGGATTTCCAGGGTGAAATTCTTTACAGCTCACCTTGCATTCAAACCAGCATTGGCAGAATGCTGTAGGCTACCCACTCCTGTCCTCCCTCCTTTCCTAAGGGAGCATCACCCCATTGCCCTATGGGTCTCCTGTCATATTTGTTCTTCAGAAATTATGACATCCCAGGATTTGTAGTTGAGCTATGTTGCCAAATAAATATGAGCTCTGAGGATACTGAGCCTCAAGAGAGAGGCAGAGCTGGAACTCCTAAGAGGTCTTGCCACTCCCTGTTTCTGCCCCCATTTTCATTCGATCTGTCCTGACTCATCTTCCTAAAACTTTGCTAGGATCATGTCACCCCTTCTCTCCAAAAACTTTCTGGGTCTCCCTATTTGCTCTGGAATAGAATATCAACTCCCACCTCTAACATTTAAGGACCTTCACAATCTGGTTTCAGGCTATCCTTATAAGCCTGAGCTCACATCATTTCCCTTCCTGTGCCTTACCCACCAGTCAAGTGGGACTAGTCTCCTTCCCCCATCCTTGAGTTATGATCGCCTGTGTCTTTGTTCACCCTGTCCCCCATATTTAGGGGGACGCCAGCTCTACCTATTCTAATCCCAAACAAGTGCCAAGAAGTTCCGCTTTTCTTTTGAGTGCAGCTCACATACTGGAAATTGATAGATAGAAAGATATAGATGTATCTTCATATGCCTACATCTACATATATAGCTACCCACACATATATACATATATGTTCATATACGTATATCTACATATACATCTACACACATATACACATATATCTTCATATACCTCTGTCTATCTATATCTGTACACACACACATATATATATACTCATATATCTTCATATACCTATATCTACATATATATCTGAACACACATGTATATACATATATCTTCACATACCCATATCTACATATATACCTGTACACACATATATATCTTCATATACCTTTATCTACATTATATATCTGTCCATGTATACACATATTTATCTTCATGCCTCCAACATAGAGTACAATGCTTCGCACACAACAGTTTGTTGAATGACTTAGTGACTCAAATTCAGGTCTTCCCAACACCAAATAGTCCTCATTCAATTATATTGTGAAACAGGTACTATCTATAGCACTGCAAGGTCCCAGTTCCAACCAAAACCACCATTTCTCTGTAGATTTCCCCTAAAACTTAAGAATGCCCTCTGCTCCCTGGTAATAGCCCTAAACAACATGTCCAAACAAGGGCAATAACAAAACCATCTCATTTTACCCTGGTGGGTTATGTGGTACAATGTAAAGAGTCTTGGATTTGAAATCAAAGAACCTGGGTTTGAATCCTGCCTCTGCTAGGTACTAAACTGTGTGATCTTTGGCCAATCACTTTCCTTTTCTGCTACTCAGTTTCCCCACCTCAGTTTTCTTATCTTCTTTGAGAATATTTAGCTTCCTTCAAGACTCAGTTCAAGTGCCTCTACCAGGCCTCACCCCTGATTGCAAGTGTGCCCTCCCTCAAAATTACTTCATGTTTATTTTGTAGATATTTTGAATTTACTTATGTTTGTACATGTTGTCCCCCATCCCTTCCATTGGAGTGTAAGCTCCTCGAGGGTAGGAATGGTACATTTTGTCTCTGTATCCCCAACACTTAGCACTCCTAGGAAGGGTTTGATAAATGTTTGCTGAATGAACGAAAGGGTTGGACTCCAGATGTCAAAGGTCCCTCCAAGTTCTGGAGTCTATGGTTCTGTCTTCTCCCTTTCACAGATGTGCCAGGTGATAAGCTGAGCCAGGTGCTTGGTGCCCCTGCCACTCTGACCTGCCTGGGTGGGGAATCGGAGCCTAATGGCACCATTCACTGGAAACTGGATGATAAGCCCATAGGCCCACAGCTTGGCCAAAGGGAAATGGTGGGAGGAAAGCTACTACTGAAGTCAGTGCATTACAGCGACTCAGGAAACTACACCTGCTACCTGGATGGCCGCCCAGTGAAGACCTTGCCTTTGCTAGTGGTTGGTGAGTAACACCCCTGGAACATTGCTATGCTGGCATTCTTTTGGAAGATCCTTCCAATTCATCCTCCATTGCCTCATAGGCCTAGCGGCCTGTGCCCAGATTTGACCTTCTTTACTGCTGGTGGGCTAACCTTCCTTAGAGATCTGGTCACGTCACGCTCCTTTGCTCAAAAATCTTTGATGGTGCCTTACTGATTACTGGGTCAAATCCAGATTTTTTTCCTTGGCATTCAAGATCCTCCATAATCTAGTGCCACCCCCTCTCCCCCCAGCTTTCCTGATTTATTTTATGTTACATGATTCTACAATTTCTAATTCCTAGCCAAACTGGATAATTAGCTCCCCTATACCTCAATGTAAACCGATCTCAGTACTTTTGATTACACTGTTCCTTATATCCGTGATATCCCCTTTGCTCCCGTTTGCTTGTCGAACTTTTACCTAGTTTTTAAAGCCCAACTGAAATGCAGTTTCCTTCAGAAAGTCTTTTCTGACCCCTCCCTCCATCACTGACACCTTCCTTCTTAGACCTTACACAGAATTTTGCTTGGCACCTTTCTAATGCACTTGTATAAAATTGCATTTCAGACTTATCTGTGCTTGTGCTATTATATTCTCTTCCTAGACCATATGCTCCATGAGGGCGGGCACCTTTATTTATTTAAACTTGCCATCTTCTTCGGTGCCTAGCACTGCGTACGGTAGATGTGTGTTAAATGGATACTCTCAGATACGTGCCATGCCTGAAACAAAAAACAAAAACCCATTAATATCCTGTTATTTACTCGGTCCAAGAAATTACAGGAAAAGCTTATTATATTTGCCAGCAAGTGACAGGATACTGGAGAATATTCTGGCTCATGGTTGGGCTGGGTATCTCGCAGCTCAGGACCCAGAGAGCTCAGAACTCTTCTCATAGTGAGTTGGGTGGTTTGGGCTCCACTGGTGTTGGAAATATGCTGCCTCCCTCCCTCGTGGCTTATCTCAGTGACTTGGAAGTTGTTTTAAACAGTAAAAGGAAAGGGAGACTCTCTTCTGGAAATATGCTGTCTTAGCCCTGTGACCTGGGTTAGCCACTCCTCCCAGGGTAGAACTGTATCTTCTAGCACAGTAAATACTCAGTAGTTATGAACAGTGCCGAAGAGGACCGGTGTCAGAGACAGTGCCTAGGATATCATGGGCGCTCCATAGAAAAAGCCTGCATTTATTAAGCACCTGCTAAGTGGCAGTCAGGCAGCCAAGTGGTGCAGTGGATAGAGCTCTGGGCCTGGAGTTAGGAAGAACTGAGTTCAAATACAGCTTCTGATACTTGTTAGCTGTGTTACCCTGGGCAAGTCACTTAACCCTGTGTGCCTCAGTTTCCTCATCTATAAAATGAGCTGGAGAAGGGCATGGCAAACCAGTCCGGTATCTTTACCAAGAAAACTCCAAGCAGGGTCACAAAGAGACACCATTGAAGCAACTGAACAAGAGTAACAGTGTGCCAGGCAGGCACTGGGCTAAATACTGGCTGTACAAATACCAGCAAGTCAGACTGTCCCTGCCCTCAAGGAGTCTACATTATAATGGGGTTAGACAACGCATAGCGGGGAGCCAGAAAGAGAGGAGTACAAGGGTCTTGGCACGGCCTTAGCAAGATAAGCCGAAAGCTGGCCTATGACTGATGGAGTGACTGTGGAGAGGTAGTATAGAACAGTCAAAATACAAACACAAAGGACCTTGGACTTGCAGAGCATCTAGAGTGGGCTATGAACCCCAGTCCTGTTATTTACTCGTTTGTGGGACACTCCCCCTCTTTGCATTTGGGATGAAGAGGTTTATGCTGTTCAACATTCCTCTCCTTGACGTTCAAGGTCAGGGATGTTCAAGGAGGCTTGGATGTTTTCTGAGGTCTCCTCTAGCCTTAGAGTTTGATAAAATAGAACTTGATGTCCACAATTACTAATCTCTATTGCTCCCCTTTCCCTGAGACGTAGCAAGGTATGGTAGAATGAGTACTCAATTGGGAATGAGTAGGCAAAGGTTCAAATCCCATTTCTGTCCTTTACTACCTGGCTTTAACCTCTCTGTGACTCAGTTTCTTTACCTGGACTAAATGACCTCCGGGGTCCAATTCCAGCTCTAAGTCTGTGATCTTCTGATTCTGCTTCCCAGGAGGGAAACGCGACCTGTGGCACCTTGGATTTTCACAAAGCCGTAGTTAGAATACAATGCACTGCTCAACTTGTCTGCCCTCTGAAGGATGTGGGAATCCCTGTGGGGTACAAAGGGGGAGTGTTTTTCAGTTTTATTTTTCAGATTTATTCTCTTTGGACTGCCTGGTCCTCTCACACCTTGGAAGAAAGCTTTTATTGTCTGCCGCCGTGACAACACCCCCTATGTTTACATGCCTGCTACGCTTTCCTTTTCAGACCCTCCTGAGGAGCCCGAGTGCTCGTGCCGGAGGAAGAGTTTCACCAGCGGTGTTTGCTGCGAATGGAGCTTCCAGAGGAAACCGTCCCCACAGACTAAGGCCGTCTTGGTAGTGAGACAGGTGTAAGTGTCTTGGGAGAGGATTTCATTTTAAAATCAGGCCATCCTTGGGAAGGGAGAAGAGAGTCTTTAGAAGTCATGACACTGGAGTCAGGAGAACCTGAGTTCAAATGCGGCCTCAGACCAAACACTTCACACTTACTAACTGTGTGACCCTGGGCGAGTCACTTAACTCCGATTGCCTAAAAAAAAAAAAAAGGCATGACACACAAGGTACTGGGTGCTGAGAAAATAAAGGAAATATTTGCTGGATTGAGCCACAGCAAAATACAAGGCATGTCCTGATCTGAGGAGCTCCAGGAAGGCCCCTACAAATATCTTCCCCCGACTGGCCCATGATGATGACAAATGTCAGAAGGCAGAAGTAGGAGTGACTGATAGAAGTTACCCAGAGGCCAAATTTAGCTCAGTCTAAGGAGGAACTTCCTGCCAGTTAGAGCTGAATGAGAAAAGAATAGGTGGTGAGTTCCCTGTCACTGAAAGCTTCCATGGCAGCTTAGATGACCATTTGTTACAGGTATTGTACAAGGTACAGGTGAGATGCCTTCTAACACTGAGATTCTGATTTTATGCCTGAAACCCCACCATATATGTATATATATATATAGAGAGAGAGAGAGATAGATATAGATATAGATATATAGATATATTATCCCATTTAGTCCTCACAACAACTTTGGGAGATGTCCTATTAAAATGTAAATTAGCCAGGTAGGAATGACGTGTCAAGCCGTGCTCAGCACATAGTAGGTACTTACTAAATGTTTGTTGACTTGACTTGAATGAGATGAAAGAGAGAGAGAGAGAGAGAGAGAGAGAGAGAGAGAGAGAGAGAGAGAGAGAGAGGGAGACTTGTTTTTGCTGGAGAAAGGAGAGTGGGGTATACCTGGATACTCTTGCAGGTCTTGTAGGTAGGGTACCATGAAAGCACAGGGTGCACAGGGATGGGGACAATAAGGAGGAGAAGAGGGGATACCACAAGAGGAAGTGGAAGATGACAAAGATACACTGGGTCTGTTTCACAATCTTGTCTAGCAACCAACAGCCCTGTAGCTGAAGCCCCTTCAATCCAAAAGTTTTCCAAACTAATCTAAAGATAAACACACATATCAGATTCCAAACTTATTTAGCCTCCAGTGCCAAACCTTGCCCTGAGAGCTTCCCCAAAGGAGTTATTTTTTGGGGGGGGTAGGCAATGGGGTTAAGTGACTTGCCTAGGGTCACACAGCTAGTAAGTGTTATGTGTCTGAGGCTGGATTTGAACTCAGGTCCTCCTGAATCCAGGGCTGGTACTCTATCCACTGCGCCACCTAGCTACCCCGCAAAGGAGTTATTCTTTTTTTTTAATTAATAAATTTATTTATTTGTAGTTTTCAACATGTACTTCCACAAGATTTTGAGTTCCAAATTTTCACCCCATCTCACCCCTCCCCCCACCCCAAGATGGCATGCATTCTGAATATCCTTCCCCTAGTCTGCCCTCCCTTCTATCTCTCCCCCCATTCTCTTATCCCCTTCCCCTTCTATTTTCCTATAGGGCAGGATAGATTTCTGTACCCCATTTCCTATATTTCTTATTTCCCAGTTGCATGTGAAAACATTTTTTTTAAACATGTGTTTTTAAAACTTTGGGTTCCAAATTTTCTCCCTTCTTCCTTCCCCACTCACCCTCATTGAAAAGGCAAGCAACTCAATATAGGTTATACATGTGCAGTTATGCAAAACACTTCCATGGTAGACATGCTGTGAAAAACTAACTCTATTTCCCTTAATCCTATCCTGCCCCCCCATTTATTCTATTCTTTCTTTTGACCCTGTCCCTCCTCAGAAGTATTTGCTTCTGATTACCTCCTTTCCCAATCTGCCCTCCCCTCTATCAACCCCCTACTCTCTTGTCCCCGTCCCCCCCTATTTTCCTGTCGGGTAAGACAGATTTCCACACCCAATTGAGTGTGTATGTTATTCCCTTCTTAAGTCAAATCCTATGAGAATAAGATTCACTCATTCCCTCTCACATTCCCCCGTTTCCCCTCCACTGTAAGAGCCTTTTCTTTTCTGTTTTTTTGTGAGATAATTTACCCTGTTCTACCTCTTCCTTTCTCCTCCTAGTCTTCTCTCACCCCTTAATTTTATTCTCCAGATATGACCCCTTCATCTTCAACTCACCCTGTGGCCTCTATCTATCTATCTATCTATCTATCTATCTATCTATCTATCTACGTTCATATAATTTTTTCCCTCCAACTACCCTAATACTGACAAAGGTCTCATGAGTTATAAATATCATCTTTGCATGCAGGAATGTAAACAGTTCAATCTTAATAAGTCTCTTATGATTTCTCTTTCCTGTTTACCTCTTCATGTTCCACTTGAGTCTTGTATTTGAAAGTCAAATTTTCTATTCAGCTCTGGTCTTTTCATCAAGAATGCTTGAAAGTCCTCAGTTTCACTGAATGACTATTTTTCCCCTGAAGGATTATACTCAGTTTTGCTGGGTCAAAGGAGTTATTCTTAAAAGCATAGTTTAGAGACTACCAGTAGTCTCTCAGAGGTCCTTTTGACAGTCCATAGGCTCAGGGTAGAAGGATTTATTTGAAAAATTGCATGCCAAAAATCTACACATGAATGGATGGGCATTGCCCTATTGGGAAAAACACTGAAGACTATTCAAAGTTATTATTACTTTAAGAATCACTCCCCAAGAAAGGGATATAGACATCTCCTGGCTTACCTGATTTACTAACACTGTGTTTCAAGTCTTTATTTGTAAATGGGCTATTTAGAACTTGGAGTTCAACCTGAGTTATGGTAGGCCTAGTGGGTGGAGCGCTGGGCCTAGAGTCAGGAAGCCTCATCTTCCAGAGTTCCAGACACTTACTCTCTGTGTGACTCTGAGCAAGTCACTTAACCCTGTTTGCCTCAGTTTCCTCTTCTGTAAAATGAGCTGGAGAAAGAAACGACAAACGACTCCAGTATCCTCACCAAGAAAACCCCAAATGGGTTCATGGAGAGTTGGACTCAACTGAACAACAAAAAGGCCCAGTGTGATAAGATTACCAAGCTAAAAAGCGTGCAGAAACCTGTTTAATTTGTGACGCGGCTGAAATCTTGCATGTTTGCTCGCAGCAGAAAATAGTAGGAAGCAATATGATGGAGCATGCCCAGTACATTTTTTCTGCTAGAATGCTCCGCTTCTAGCTTCAGCAATTCCCTGTAAGGTAGCCTTTATAAGACTCAGCCTTGGGCTCAGGTTGATTCACCCCAAATTATAAATGGATGACGCAATAGATAGAGTGCCAGGCCTGGAGTCAGGAAGACCTGAGTTCAAATGTGGTCTCAGACACTTACTACAAGTCACTTCACTCTGTTTGCCTCAGTTTCCTCATCTGTAAAATGAGCTGGAGAAGGAAATGGCAAACCATTCTAGCATCTTTGCCAAGAAAACCCCAAAATGGGTTTACAAAGAGTGGGACACAACTGAAAAACAACAACTTCTGAACGCATTGCTGGGGATCAATCTCTCTGAGTTTCCACTTCCTCATCTGTAAAATGGGAATAATGTTTATAATAAGCAGCTCACAGGGCCATTGTGAGTCTAAAATGAGATATGGTAGGCATTTAAACCCCAGGAGACAGGGGCTGCACTTATGATGTCATTGGCAAAAGGATTTCCCAGAAATTCCCTCTACCAATGGAGGCTGTTACCTTCTTTGCAATTTATAGTCAGAGAGTCGCCTAGGGCATTGCCTGTTAGAGCCAGGACTTGAACCCAGGGCTTCCTGGCTCTGAGATCGGCTCTTTATATACCGTACTGTTCTGCCTCTTATGTAAACCTCAGAGCGCCATAGATATGTCAGTTATCGATTGCCAAATCAGTTCTCCAGTATAGTTCTTGCTTCTATTTGCTTTTGCTTGTGTCCAACAGAAGCAGTGCAACAGGGAGGCTAAAAACGAGATTTTTGAGGGTGTTGGTCTTATGTCTCTGGCAGACAGAAAGAAGAGACTTTCCAGAGGCCGTGTCACTACTTGCAGGAATCCCAGAAGTTCTCTTGCCACTTAAATCTTGGGGAAGATGATGACTCCCTCTACTTGGCTGTTTTATGTGTTGACAACGGGGTGGTGAGGAAGTCCAGTAAAGCCTACCGATTCAAGGGCTTTGAAGTGCGTAAGTACACTTCTGCCTTCTCCAGGGCTCCTCCTCCAATTGCTTAGGAGAGATTTTAGAACCCTGGGAACAGAGGGTGTGTGAGGATGGGGCTGCTGGTCAGACCCCTTGTGGTGGGCCAACCATTTTTTTACAACGATTGAGGTAGGGGTGTGCGGGTAATTTTTTTTTAACAAGCTCTCTAGGAAAAAAAAAATTCCCATGACATACTCTTAAGTTTAGTTTCCATCAGAGTCCTTTTTTTTCCCATTTTTTCCATCACTTTCTTATGTCTAGATGATCTACAAAACCAAAAATCAAGTTCTAATTTGTAGCATTTTGCCTATTTCCGAGGTAAAATTGCTCATGCTGAAAATTTGACAGATGGCTCTAGCCCAGGGAGCCTTCACATGCACACCATTGGGTTGGGGAGTCAGAGATAAGGTTTGTTTACAGGAGGTCTGAGTACCGGTGGCATTCAGCAGCCTAGACATCCTGTTTAGATAACTATCAGCAGAGGCTGCTATATAAATGTTTATTGACTGAATAAATGAAGGTATGAATGAAAGGGGAAGGTCTGTACTAAGCACTAAGCTTGTCCCTTATAGCAGGCACTCTTCTTATTTCTCTCTCCCTCTCCTCTCTCCCCATCACCCCCCAACTCTCAGTTCAACCAGATCCTCCAACCAACATCACAGTAACAGCTGTGAACAAAAGCCCCCATTGGCTCAATGTCACCTGGAAAGACCCGCCTTCCTGGAACTCCATTTACTACCGACTCCAATTTGAGCTGCGTTATCGGGCTGAAAAGTCCAAGGCTTACACAGTCATCCAGGTCAGTTCAATTTCACTCGTCCCTTCATGACTTAGGGGCAGGTGGAAACCTCCTCACAGAGATAGTTAAGTTACCATATAGAGATATGTGAAGGAACAATGATTTCCACAGCATGGCAGTGTGTGGGTGGAGGACGAGTGCTCACTGATTTGAATTTCTTCCAGTGATGGAGCCTGTGATTTAGTAGATGAATCCTGGAGAGTTGCCCAAGTGACTTTCCCAGGGTCACACAGTTACTAAGTGTTAGCAGAGCCAAAACCACTTTCACTGAGGCAGCGCAGTGTCCAGCATATTCTCAAATCAACTTCTTAAAACGTAGGGCCAGTGGGGGCCATGGGAGCAGGATTGGATCATATTGGGAAGGACTTATATATATATATATATATATATTATATATATATGAGTTATTGGTTTATTGGTTATTTGGTTATTGTTCAGTTGTTTCAGTTGTGTCTGACTCTTTGTGACATATATATGTATATATATGTTTTTGGGATTTACTTGGCAAAGACACTGGAGTGGTTTGCCATTTCCTTCTCCAGCTCGTTTTATAGATGAGGAAACTGAGGCAAATAGGGTTAAGTGATTTGCCCAGGGTCACACAGGAATAAGTGTCTGAGGTCAAATTTGAGCTCAGGTTTTCCTGACTCTAGGCCCAGTGTTCTATCCACTGAGTCACCTAACTTGCCCCTGGCAGAGTTAGGAAGAAAGAGATGTTTTGAAGGCTTAAAGTGCTATTGAAATGCATTATTTATCACCAAAGAACTGCCTGATTTAGGTAAGAAGTCGGAGCTGTTACAGTTGGTTAGAAGTTGGCCCCATTAACTAACTGGTGGGTAAAAGTTATACAGTTAGAGTAGACTCATGTGTGCATGCACATTGGAGTATTGGAGGTGTATGTGGTCAAAGGTATTTTATGCTTCGCATTTGTGTGTATGTATAGTTGTGAATGCTCATACTTGTGTATATACACAAGTGCAAGTGTTCTAGAGATGTGTTGTATGTGTGTGCATACACACGTGTGACCATTTCTCTGTTTGTGTGTATGTGCATGTACATTTGTGTGTGTGCTAATTCATCTCCTACGTCTTTGTGCCTTTCTCTTTCAGAGGAAGGACCAACACTCATTGATTATCAGTGATGCCTTGAGGGGCATGAGGCATGTTGTGCAGATCCGGGCCAGAGAGGAGTTTGATCATGGCCGATGGAGTGAATGGAGCAAGGAGATCGTGGGCATCCCATGGACAGGTAGAACTGGGGAGGGGGTGGACGCCTTTGTTTTTGACTTTTTAAAAGCTTAGTGATGATAGATGACTTAAAGTAGTAATGTCAAACTCAAAATAGAAATGGGGCCACTACACCACACCTAAGTATCCTTACCAGTTGCATATTGACTTATTGTTGTTGTTAAGTTGTGTCTGACTCTTTGTGACCCCATTTAGGGTTTTCTTGGCAGGGATAATGGAATGGTTTGCCATTTCCTTCTCTAGCTCATTTTACAGATGAGGAAACTGAGGCAAACAGGGTTAAATGACATGCCCAGGGTCACACAGCTAGCACGTATCTAAGGCTGGATTTGAACTCATGAAGATGAGTCTTGCTGAGTCCAATCCCACTGCTCTATCCACTGGCTACCTAGCTGCTTGCATATTGACTTAGAAAACCACATGTTAACATTTTGTTAAATAGTTCTCATTTACATTTTAATCTGATTCAAGCAGGTAGCCTACAGGCCAAGTATTTGACACCTCTGATTTAAAGGACCCTGGAGCTTTAGGGTAGGTAGGGTCCTTAGAGGTCATGCCCTTCAATTTCCCGTAGGATTCCCCTCTATAATATACCCAACAGGTAACCAATCATCCAGCCCCCATTTGAACACTTCTAGTGACAGGGAACTTATCTCACAAGACAAGCAGCTACATGGTCTACTGGGTAGAGTATTGGACATGAAGTCAAGTAGACCTGAGTTCAAATCTGGCCTCAGACCCTTTTTAGCTGTATGATCCTGGGCAAGTCACTTAAATTCTGTGTTTCAGTTCACCAACTATAAAATGGGGATAATTATAGCACCTACCTCCTAGGGCTGTTGTGGGGATCAAATAAGAAACACTTTGCAAATCTTAATGTGCTCTGTAAATGCTAACGATTATTATTACTGTCATTCCTCGTTGGACTTCTCTGTTACGCAGTTCTTTTTCATGTTAAGTCTAAATCTGTCTCCTTCTATCTATTTGGGAAGCAGTGTAGTTTAATGGAAAGAGCACTGGCTGTGGACTCAGATAACTTGGGTTCACATCTTACCTCTGGCATTTACTACTCATGTGACCTTGGACACTTGACTGCCCTGTACCTCAGTTTCTCCATCAGTAAAAGGAATGAGTTGAACTAGAAAAGATTTGAGGTCCTTCCCTTTCTAAATCTAGAATAGTATAGAACAAATATACTCAGTCTTCCATGTAACAGTCTTTCATGTATTTGAAGTTAGCAATCAAGTTCCTTCCCAGCCCCACACCCTTGCCCGCATCTTCTAGTGCCCTAGGCCCTTCAGACTCAGTCTCATGTAATTCTCATGTGAAGTGCTTTCTAGAATCCCGGCCAACTTGGACACTCTCCTCTGGAGAGTGTTCTTTGTCAATGTCCTTCTTTAAACACGTGGCCCAGAAGAGAATACCATTTAATAAATATGGCCTGACCAGTGCCGAGTTGGTGGAACCATTGCTTCCAGGGATCTGGATACCACATTGGTATCAATACATCCAAGCGCAATAGGAAGAACATTGGACCAGAGACGACAAGTCCGAGGCTTGTGTCCCACCTCTGACTCTTACTGGTTTTCTAACTGTGGGCAGGGAGACGACTTACTTCTCTGACCTCTGCATTTTTCATTCATAAAATGGCAATAGTGACACTTGGACTCTCTACCCCTACGAAAGTGTGGTAAGGAAAGAACTTTGTAAATTGTTTTTTTAAAAAAATCTTTTAATTCTTATCTTCATTTTAATTTATTTATATATTTATAAATTTAATTATCCCTTAATTCTTATCTTAATTTTTAGTGATTACGCTGAGACAGTAACTACTTAATTGCAGTGGGACGAAATTGTACTTCACTTAATGGCCCATGACTGCTACTCTAGTCCGCTCAGTACACTCTGCCCTACCCCCCCTTCAGTTCCCCTTTATGCGTTGTCTTCCCCATTAGACTGTAAGCTTCTTGAGGGCAGTTACTGTCTTTCTTTTTGCTTATATTTGCATTCCTAGCACTTACCGCAGTGCCTGGCATTTAGTAAGATTCTCATAAATGCTTGTTGACTGACTGATCACCGTTCTACTCATGCTTTTCTTAATGCAGCCTTATATTTTGTTAATTTCCCTCCTACCACAACATACTGTTGACTCATATTGAGCTTACAGGCCTCTAAAACCCCCAGATCTTTTTCAGATAAATTTCAGTCTAGCTGAATAATTCAACCCCCATTTTGTACTTGTGAAGATGATTTTTTGAACCCAATTGTAAGACTTTGCATTTATTCCTACTAACTTATTTGTTGTTATTCAGTGGTTTTCTATCGTGTCCAACTCTTTGTGACCCCATTTGGGGTTTTCTTGGCAAGGATACTGGAATGGCTTGTCATTTTCTTTTCTAGCTCGTTTTATAACTGAAGAAACTTTTTTTTTTTTTAGGCAATTGGGGTGAAGTGACTTGCCCAGGGTCACACAGCTAGTAAGTGTGAAGTGTTTGGTCTGAGGCCGCATTTGAACTCAGGTCCTCCTGACTCCAGGGCCGGTGCTCTATCCACTGCGCCACCTAGCTGCCCCAAGAAACTTTTATAGATGAAGAAAATGAGGCAAACAGGGGTAAGTGACTTGCTCAGGGTCATACAGCTAGTAAGTGTCTGCAGCTGGATTTGAACTCAGGAAAATGAGTCTACCTGACTCCAGACCTGGCGTTCTGTCCACTGCATCACCTAGCTGCCCTTATTAAATTATTAGTTGGACCCAATGTTCTGTACTGTAAAGATTTTTGAATCCTGACTCTAGGGGCAGCTAGGTGGCACAGTGGATAGAGCACCGGCCCTGAAGTCAGGAGGACCTGAGTTCAAATCTGGCCTCAGACCAGACACTTGACACGTACTAGCTGTGTGACCTTGGGCAAGTCACTTAATCCCGATTGCCTCACTAAAAAAACAAAAAAACAAATCCTGACTCTAACATCTAGTTTTACATCTCCTACAAATTTGATAAGCATGCCATTTGTACCTTTTTCCAAGTCTTTGATAAAAATGTCCAACAGAATGAGACCAAGGACCATCTCCTGGGGTTCATGTATACTAAGGACCTCCTTCCAAATTGTCCTTCATTTCAACCCCTCAAGGAACTGCACTGGTAACAAACTTTTCCATCTGTTGTCTGAAGATCCCCCTAGCTAAGTTTGGAGGGGCTCATCCCAGGTGGGTTGCAGGCAGGTGATTTTTTGTGCATGTCAACTCTTAAAGACCATTTATCTCCTAAATTATAAAGGGGTTGTGATCCATATCTGTGGAAGGAATAACCACACAAATGAAAAACAGTCTGTTACCAGTGTAGTATTTGAAGCCTTATCAGCTTGGTAGGACCAGCCAGAACTTGCATTCTGCTGATACAGCCTTCCAAAACCCAGGGTCACGTGTGTTGAACCATTGAACCATTAATAACCACCCCTTCAGTTCAGCCATTTATCCAGTTCTGCATCTGCAGAATTGTCTCATCTCCTAGGCCACTTCTCCCCACTTTCTCATAAGAATAGCATGAGAGATTATGTAAAAACTTTTTTCCCTAAAATCCATATAAATTACATCTCCAGTAGTCTCCTGATCTAGAAGTTTAGTAACTCAATTCAAAAAAGAAAAAAGAAATGAGATTAGTTTTTCAGCATGACCTATAGTGATGAAGCCATGTTGGCTCTTTGTGATCATTGCTTTCTTTTCTAGTTGTTCGTTAACTATCCCTTTAATGCTCTGTTATAGAATTTTGCCAGGAATTGAAGTCAAAAAATCTCATGGGCTGATAGTTTGCAAACTCTTCTATTCCTTTTTGTATCTCTGTGTGTGTGTGTGTGTGTGTGTGTGTGTGTGTGCGCGCGCTTTTGTGTAAGACTGGGACAACATATTTGTCCTTCTCCAATTTTATAGCACCTCACTTGTTTTTTTACAGTCTTTCCAAGATCACTGACAGTAACTCAGCGATCACATTTGCCAGATCTTTCAGTAACCTGGACTATATAGGTCATCTAGACCTGGTAACTGGACCTCCTCTAAGGCAGCTAGGTGTACTCCCATCATCTCCCTACCTGTCTTTGTGTTCAAATCCACATTAGCCATTTTTATTCAGGCCCCAAATTATTTTCTTTGGCAGAAAAAACAGAAGCAAAGTTAAGAATTAAGCAGGTCAGAGTTCTCTCTCTTGTGAGTATTATCATCATCTCATCTGCCACAGGAGACAGTTTTTTCCCTTAATAATACTAGCTAATGATAACTAGCATTTACATAGTACTTTTAATTTTGCAAAGATCTTTACATATGTTATGCCATTTGATCCTCACACCAACCCTAGGAGGTAAGTGCTATTATTGTCCCCATTTTACAGATGAGGAAATTGAGGCTGAGAGGGGTTGAGTCATGCAACTAGTAACTGCCTGAGATAGGATGCAAACTTGGGTTTTCCTTACTTTGAGTCCAATACTACATCCTTTTTTTTGACCATCTTATTTTACCCATTATAGCTAATAAAAGATCCTTTATTGTTGTCCTTAGATTTTCTCTCAGACTTATCTCTTTTTTGAGCTTGAGCCATCCTAATGCTTTTCTTACAGGACAATGTCTGGGTGAGTTGAATTTGGGGTTTACCACTGTTGGTATCCTGTGAATGCTATCAGTTTACAGTCTGTCCCCTTAAAAATTTTTTTCTTAAAAATTTTCCTTTATGATTACTTGATATATAGCAATCAGACTTTTTAAAAATCAGTTTTTGGGAAGCCTGACAGTTGTTAAATTTTTCCTTCGTGCCCTGCTCCCCACATCTATCATTTTTGCCTGCATAGATTCCACATTTTTTCCAGTTGTGTCATTTCCTGGGCTTGTTGTTTTGGCTTTAGTTGTTGTTTTCACCATTTTTCTCTCCAGCAAAATAATTTTGTTATTCCTTGAGTCTGTTGTTTTGTTTATTTTCTTCCCTTGGATATCTCCAAACAGAGGAATTTTATTATCATC